TGGCAGCATCAGGATGGATGGTGAAGAGATTGAGATTCTTAACAACTTTAGTTGGCTTGGTTCCACAGTCAACACTCTTGGCACTAGTAGCCAGGAAATTAAAAGGTGTATTGTGATGGGAAAGTCTGCAACAGAGAGTTGGACAATGATTAGGGAGGATAGAAGGAGAATTGATGCCTTTAAGCTTTGGTGCTGGAGAAGAGTATTGAATATACCATGGACTGCTAGGAAAACAAAGATTCATCCTGGAAAGGGTTAAACTGGGCTGCTCCTTGGAGGCAAGGATTCTGGGGCTTTTTCTGACATACTTTGGACATGTTGTAAGGATGGGCTGGTCCTTGGAGAAGGGACATCATGCTTGGGAAAGTGGAGGGACGGTGCAAGAGGGAAAGACCCTCTATGAGGTGGATTGATTCAGTGACTGGGGTAATCGGGATGGGTGCATCAGAGGCAGTGAGATTGGCACAGGATAGAACAGGGTTTAGGGCTTTTGTACAGAGGGTCACTATGAGTCGCAACAACAACAAAAAACAACAACAAAAAATAACAACAAAAACAAATAAGTTAACAGTAGATGTGTGAGTTTAAGGATTGTTGATTCTAGCCTGTTGATTTACATGTCTATTGTTACACCAGTCTCAGATTGTTTGGCTTAATGTAACTGTATTTTTAAAAACAATACTTTTTTCATGGCCACTGGCTACTCTATGCAAAGTTGAGGATGGCTTTTTCTATTTCTGTAAAGAAAGTTATTGGAATTTTTCTAAGTATTGCATTGAATCTATAGATAGCTTTGTGCTGACATCTTAACAATTGTTAGTCTTCCAGTCCATGTACATGGGACATATTACATGTGGTTGATAGTTGATTTTTTTGGTCTCTTGGTTTTTGCTCATTTTTCTCCTCTCTTGTTACACCAGTTATTTATAATGGAATGTTTGACTTTATAGTTGAAAGATTTTTAGGGGCTCTAATACTATTTCTGTGTTAGCTTTGACTGGCACATAGAGCATGGCCTGATCAACTTTAAATATTTGAGAATGATTGGGTTTCTTATCTCCTTTATTCCTAATTCCAAGTGTAACCCTTGCAAGGTCCCGAGTAAAATAGTTTCCAATTATTCCCTTTCTGTCTAGGATCTTTAGTTGCCTAATCTTGACTGGTTTATCTGTTAATTAGAATCTTCATCCACATTTTAAATTCACCTCTTCAACTGGTTTTAAATTTTTTTTCTTTCTCTTGAACTTTTTTTGAGTTTGATATCAGCTTCTCTATCATAGTCAGAAGCAATCGTCTCTCTTACTGTTATTTTATTCCTGCATTTTTGAGCAGATAACACATAAAGTATAGTCTGCTATCCTATTCCCTACCTCTCTGTTAATATTACAGAACTAAAAAGATTTGCTGCTCATACCAGTTCTGTGATTTGGTTTCACTTATTTCTAGGCATCACTTTTCTTACCCTCTCCCCTTAAATCTTTTATTGCATTCTTTAGGAGAGCAGTGTTTCAGAACCTGAAATCCAGTATTTTCAGGCCATTTTTTTTGTGTGTTCATTTTAATAGAAATGAAGCATCCTTCAGCCATGCTGAGCTACTTTTTTTAAGTTAGTCAACTTCTCTTTTGATTAGTTGTTTTTATCAGCACCTTGATTTTAAATTTGCATAAATTTGAATGATCTACTCCAGTCCTATTTTTCCATGAAACCTGTATGTTCTGACATGTAAGTTTATATAAAATGAGGGACAAACATGTGGTATTATAATAGAAATGTCTATGCTTTCAAGTATATAACTCATTCACTTGAAATAGACATTATTTTAAGTTCACCTTTTATTTCTCTGAAATTTTCTTATTTTTGTAACAGTGAAATACCATGTGTTTGAGTTCTTGTTTTTTGTTTTACAGATTTGGAGTCCAAATACAGGACCAATGATTTATCTCCAGAAAAGGACGTTTGTGAAATATATTCATTCCAGTGGGAAATAATGGAAAGAATTAAAAGCGATAGCCTTCAGGCCACCATCTATAGAAATGACTGGGAATATGAAAGCAAGATTGAGGGGCAAAATGAACTACAAGAGAGAGATTTCAGTCAAGTGAAAATGACCCCTGAAAAAATAGCCAACTACAAAAAACACAATTATCTCACTCAGTATCAGAGAGTTCATAATGGAGAAAAGTTATATGAATGTAAAGAATGTAAGAAGACATTTATTCGCCGCTCAACACTTAGTCAACACCTGAGAATTCATACTGGTGAGAAACCTTATAAATGTAAGGAATGTGGGCAGGCCTTTAGACAGCGTGCACACCTTATTCGACATCATAAACTTCATACTGGTGAGAAACCTTATGAATGTAAGGAATGTGGAAAGGCATTTACAGTGCTCCAAGAACTTACTCAACATCAGAGACTTCATACTGGTGAAAAACCCTATGAATGTAAAGAATGTAGAAAGGCCTTTCGTGTACATCAGCAACTTGCTCGACATCAGAGAATTCACACTGGTGAGAAACCTTATGAGTGTAAGCAGTGTGGGAAGACCTTTCGACAGTGTACACACCTTACACGACATCAGAGACTTCATACGGCTGAGAAGCTCCATGAGTGTAAGGAATGTGGAAAAGCCTTTGTGTGTGGGCCAGATCTTAGAGTACATCAGAAAATTCATTTTGGTGAGAAACCATATGCATGTACGGAATGTGGAAAGGCTTTTAGAATATATCAGCAACTTACTGTCCATCAGACCATTCATACTGGTGAGAAGCCCTATGAATGTAAGGACTGTGGGAAGACTTTTAGATTAAGGCAACAACTTGTTCGCCATGAGAGAATTCACACTCGTGAGAAACCATTTGCATGTATGGACTGTTGGAAGACCTTTAGTAGTTACTCACAACTTATTTCACACCAGAGCATTCACATTGGTGAGAGACCCTATGAGTGTAAAGAATGTGGGAAGGCATTTAGGCTGCTGTCTCAACTTACTCAACATCAGAGTATTCATACTGGTGAGAAACCTTATGAATGTAAGGAATGTAGGAAACCCTTTCGACTCCTCTCCCAGCTTACTCAGCATCGAAGTATTCACACTGGTGAGAAACCCTATGGATGTAAAGAATGTGGAAAGGCTTTTAGACTTTATTCATTTCTTACTCAACACCAGAGAATCCATACTGGTGAGAAACCCTACAAATGTAAGGAATGTAAGAAAGCCTTTCGACAACATTCACACCTTACCCAACATCTGAAAATTCATAATGCCATTTGATTATAAGACACGTGAACATTTTACCAGACATCACAAAATTTATTCTTGCGAAATTTTGTCTCATCCTCACCCCCAAAAGAGATTTTGCTAGATGAATGAAATGTTGATTTCAATATCTCTTATCACTTAAATATTGCTTATCTTTAGCAACCTCATGAAAGATGAATGAGTGAAGGAAAATTTTTAAGCCTTATCATTATATCCATTTCACTACTTTTTTACGACATTGAACAAAATACTTTTGTGGCTCATTTGAAGGAGAAATTACCTAAGTATGTTAGTTATTTATCATTGTGTAATATGTTCCTACACACTCAGTAAATTAAAATAACACATTTATTACCGCATGATTTCTGTCAGCCATCACATGACTTAGTTGGGCCACCCACTTCAGAGTCTCTGTCCAGGCAACGATCAAATTTTCAGCCAGGGCTGTGGCCATAGCAGAAATCTCAGCCACAGAAAGATTCAAAGTCACTGGGCCAGTCTATACTCAAGGAGATTACACAAAAATGTAAATATCAGGTGGTAGGAGACCATTGGAAGCCACTTTAGAGCCTGTCCTCTATACTAGGGAAGAAAATTGTTAAAAGGTTTAAGTAGTTAATATGTAGGTGAACAGCGGCTATACAGCATGTATTCTGTAAATATCTATAATTGTTATTCTCACTAAAACTAATTAATGGATAAAGAATAGATTTACAAATGCCTATCACCTCTCAGCACTTATTACATTGAAAATAATTTTTTCTGAGTAAAAGCCAGAAGATTGTAGTGAATGTGACCAGTTAGACATCCCTTCAGCTTCATCAGAAATTTTATATTGGAAAGAAATGGAATTCTGTGAATGTGAGCTGGTAAGAGGACACCTATTAAAAAAAAAAAAAAGACCAAAACAAAGGATACATACAGTGAAGAATCAGGAATATGAAATTATTTTTCCATAATAAATTGAACAACCACATGGTTTACAGTCTCCACTGTTTTACTACTATTCAACATAGATTAGAAATGGTAATAAGATAGCTAAAAAGGAGATACTTGGAAAGTTAATAGGATGTGTATATGGAACTCCCATATTTACATTTACGCTGAAGTCAGTACACTTTTTCATACTCAAATTGCTCTCTCCTTTCACCATTTTTAAAGAACCTTAGTGGCATAATGTATAATGTGTGGAGCTGCTAACTGAAAGGTCAGTGGTTCAAACCCTTAGCTGCTCTGTGGAAGAAAGATGGGCAGTCCCCTCTTGTGGAGATTTACAGCCTTGGAAGTCAAAGGAGCATTCCTGTGAGTCTGACCCAACACTAGTAGATTTGGTGAGAAGCGTTCTTCCACGTCGAGTCTTTTAACACAACCTCACCACTAGTTGCATGGCTTATTTGGTTATGGCTGCACAATTTTACCAGCTCTAGCAAATGCTGTGGTACCACCTGAAAATGATAAATAAGGAGGAAATCCTGCCTTTCCTAGAAGAATCAAGTTTCAGGGCCACAAAATCTTTGTTTTCCAAATTAAAATGTTTTGGGTATTTTTTTTTGTTTTTTTGCTTTTCATTAATTTACATACAGAAAGAATTCTAGGATTAAGAAATCTATGCTTTCAAGCCTCTATTAAAATAAGAAATCCAGAAGATTATCCTCAGTAGATCCTAAAACAATTAGGTGAAACATTGAACTAAATGATGAGTGTGTAACATTAACCACCTCCAATCAGTTTTAACCTCAATAAATGTGGGACATGCAGACAGTTTGCACCTCCTTATAACAGTGCAGTAGGCAATATGCAGCACTATGAAACCTTACCATCAACCAAAATAACGAACAGGAGAAGCCAAGCCTTTAAAGAAAATTCTTGAAAATCAGTAATTTGCATGAAGAAATTAATACGGTAAGTGGTACCACAAGGAAGCTATCAACTAGGTCCTGAATGTGTAAATCTTTACAAAACTAGTGACTGGATTTCTTCAGCTGAGTGGCCTGCAAAAGAAAAATGGAGATGCAATATCTACTAATTAAAGGAACTTAAGAGACATTAACTAAAATATGTGGGCACTTTATGGACCTAATCTGAATGAATAACACCACCAAGAAGAAACACTTGGTGACAGTGGGAGAAAGTGAATGTGGACCGAGTATTAGATTGTATTTCAAATATTAATTTTGTTAGCAGTTATAATGTGGTTATTAAAATGAGAAAGATCCTATTTGTTTTAGATATATACTTAGAAATTTAGGAAATGATGACTGGGTTTGTTTTAAAATATTTCTGAAAAAATTGAGGAAGAGAACTGGAAATTAAATTGGCAAAATGCTGAGAATAACTAAGTGGAACGGTTTATTCCTGGAAGGTCATTGCTCTTGTATTTCTACTTTTGTATGTCTTTGAAAGTTTCAATAATAAAAAGCTTAAAATGTAAAGAAAAACAAATTTTAGCCTTCAAAGAAGTGAATGATAATGAAATGACTATGTATCTAAACTTGTGTAATGTCACCAAAGTAGAGTGAAAATGCATGCTTTAAATGCTAAGAAAATGCCATTGTTGAAGCTGGTTTTCATCATGTACACATTATCCCTCACAACCATTGAATCCCCTGTTACATAATAAAAACCTGCTAAATGTCTTGTAGGAGTCAATAAATATGTCAAAAAATTAAAAATGGAACAAAATAAAACCAACACAAGTTAAAGAAAGAAAGTGCAATTAAAATTAGAAATTAAGATACAACTTAGACTTACTGAGAGCTCTGTTGGCCTAGTGATAAGATGCATCCCTGAGTCATGCAGTATGAATCCACCAGCTGCTCCACGAGAGGATGAGCAATCTCATCATCTCATCTCATCTCATCTCATCTCATCTCATCTCATCTCATCTCATCTCATCTCATGCCTCTGAAAACTCACTGGAAGGTCAGCTATGATTTGGTTCCGACTTGATGGCACACAACATTAGACTTAGCCAGTGTTAATAAGAACTAGATTTTTTTTAAAAAAAACACGTTTTAAAGTATGTTTTAAATGAAAAATTTACAGAGCCTTATTGAGTTTTCATTCAACAATACAGACACATTTTGGGTTTTTACATTAATTCAGTCTCCTCAGTGTAATAGCAGTCTTTACCATCTCCATACATCCTTCTTTGCTTTCCAGTTTTACAAGCTGTATCCCTGGGCATATTCTGCCTTTTTTATCTCACATGGTTTGTTTTAAGGCGTGGGTACCTCCCTAGTGAACTATCATGTAGCTCCTCAGTTGCGTATCAGAAAGTTGAGACATGAGAGTTAAGTTCAGTTCTCACGGGATCCATCATCTTTGCCAGTTCAGTAAAGCCCTAGCTACTTCTGCTGAAGCTGTCTTATCATGGGATGGGGATGCCTGAAGACACTTTCCCCCTATGTAACACACATTTCAGTAGTTACCTACCACCAGCCCTTTCTTCACCACCCCCAACCTGGAGTCCATGAAACTGGAAACTTGTTTGGGGCTTTCTCATTAATGTTGAGGGGGTGCATGTCTGTACTCATCAGCCTGGAAAATATGGGATATGGAGAAGCCAGGTGCCTTCTCTGCTGGTTTTTTTTTTAAAACCCCAAACCCATGATTTTATTTATTTGCTTTTCAACAAGTTTAAATCCTTGAGAGATACAGCATTACATGGATTCTGTGTCCAATGGCCTTAGCAGCAAGGTTGCTCTGAACTTTGGCCCAAACCAGGCCAAAAATGGGCATTAGTTACCTTCCCCCGAATTACTCTGGTTTTGTTAGGTTTGCCACCAAGAGTCACTGTATTATTTTTTGCTTTGTAAACACAAGCACATTTCTTGCTTAAATAGAATTCCGTTTCATCTCAGGCAAAAACACCTTCAATTTTAAGAAGAGCTGTGTGCTCCCACCAGTTCCAGAGACCTCGTTGATAGCCAGCAAAAGTGGCCATGCACCACAGTCTCCAAGCCATCTCTGTGGTTTAGAAGTCCTACTCCCAAGGAGCTCTGGCTTAGTGTAAGGAACTGTGAATCATGTACCTTTCCTTACACTTAGCTAGAGATCCCTGCAAGAGGGAGAGATAAGTTGGGTGAAGGGAAAGACAATTCACAGTAACAGGTTAATTTGACATTGTAATTAATCACATTAATCAATAACAATATTGTGGTTATATGAAAACTAATATGACTTATAAACCTTAAAAAAATAAAAAAAAATTGAGGTACTGGTATCTCTAAATTGGATGAGTTCAGACAAATTGACTATATCCTTTTTGGCTTTACTTTTCTAAAGAAACCATTTAATATATTTGTCAGTTTTACTACTTAGAAAACAATATAAGGCCTACATGTGTCTCATTGCCTGCATGCCTTGCCTTCCTCCTTGGTCATTCAGGTACTTTGGGGAAAAAAACTTCTGTCTGGCTTGACCACATGGGAACTCTTAACTCAGGCAACAGGGAGGTCCTGGCCACCTTGATGGAGATGAGAAGCCACTTCCAGAAGGGAACAACAGGCTTCCTTCTTGGCCATTCAGGTACTGGGGGGAAAAACTGCTGTCAGGCCCTAAAAAAGGAAGCACAAATATCTAGGTGCTTCTCAAAACACTGCTGTGGACCAACACAGACATTTGACAGCCACGGGAGTAGCAAGTGTTGGCAGGGTGCAGAGATCCTCAGTGGGTTGCAGTGTGCCTTGGCGGGAAGCAGCAAGCCATGGTGGGGAACAGTGACCCACAGTCGGACCCATCCACCAGGAGCAAGCAGGACAGCAGGAATTTGAACGAGGTACTGAGGAAGGATCATATGGCTGATTGCTGGACTGATTGTGAGACCCCATGACCTTAAACAGAGGGAGTGAGACAGCTGGAGCTTGACTGGGGTTGCAGACCCAATTCTTGAGGGAAAAATGAAGGCTTTCTGTTTTTCCATTCAGGTTCCCCCAACCTCACATGCATCTGTGTATGCATCTCTCCCTGCCCCCATGTGCATCTGTGTGTTATGACAACCCAACCTTCTT